AAAAATAGCAAAATTAATAGTTATCAAATGGATTTCTTTTAATTTATCATTATTGGAATTTCTTACAAAGAAGGTACAAAGTTGATATAAAAGAAGTGTATCAAATGATGGACTTGAATAACATCTTTTGTTTAAAATTAATGAAGAAAAAGAAATAAAGAAATAAAAATAAGAGAAATAAGAAGTAAGCTATGCAATTTAGTATAAAGATTGCAAATATGGATATAATATCAAAATTTTATATAATAAGCAAAAGAATAGTAACATCAATTTTTTCTTAAAGGTTGGTGGCTAAAAAGATGTTGGTAGCTAGAAATACTATCAATTTAATGGATCAATGAGAGAAGCTAATAAGAGATTAAACTTTGAATTATCCTAACTTAGTTTTGATTCATAAAAAAATAATAGAAAAAATAAGAAGTTCATGAAGCTTCTAGATGAATACAAAGGAAGAGATGTTGCATTGTGAAGCCAAAACACTTGTAGTTCTAGGTAAGCTTTTACTAGACTTTCTTAATAGCTAATATTTATATAGAAGTAAAACTGAGACCATCTTCAATTTTATTAATATCTTTTTATATTTAAATGATAGTTTAAGATTTTTTAGTTTCTTTGTAATTAAAAATAGTTATTTTAATTTTTTATGTTATATATATATATATATATATATATATATATATATATATATATAATTTTTTTTAAATATTTAAATTTATATTTGAAATAAAAACAACCAAATTTATTATATGAAAATTTTTATCTTTATGTAGAATATGGATAGAAATCTACCAACTATAATGAAAACAAAATCTCATTCAAACTATTGAATGAATTCTTATATATTTAATAGGTGTAGCATATGCAAGAATAAGACAAGATGGGGCTTTTATAGTTTAAACTCTTCTAGTAACATTAAAAATAGATAATTTAAAATAATTATTTAAAAATAATATTAAAAATATTTTTAGTAATTAATTTAATTCTTCATCTTAATTTAAATTATATATCTATTTCAAATTATAAATTTATATACATTTTCTTATATATAAATATATATATAATAAAAATAAAATAATAGAATTAAAAATATTATATCTTATTTATATTAAATATAAATATTATATAAAATTTTATTATTATTATTTGTACTATAAATTTTTATATATTTTTTATATATTAAACTTGTATATATATATTTTGTATATTTTAACTAAAATAAGTTTATTATAATATATATTTTATTTTTAAAATTAAATTATTTCTATTTTGAGAATAATTTTAATTTCTTTGTTATGCAATCCTCTAAGCATATTAATTACTGAATCTACCTTTTGCTATTAAATTATTTCATTTTGGTGATTGTTTGAATCTTTTAGCTATCTTAATATGAGATTTTTTAAAATAAATGTAGCATTAAAACTAAATTACAAATTTATGAGTTAGTTGTTGTGTATTATGAATCAGTTGTGAAAGAAATTCAAGCATATGTCAAGGATATGAATCTTGAAAAAAGAAAATCATCATTACTCTTTTGTATCATTGAAAAGAATTAGAAAGTCACTCAAAGATGATATAATATTGAACTAGAATGGCTATTGCCAAAAACAAGAAGACTGGAAAGTCTTAAAACAAGACTAAGGATTAAAAAGGCATTGACAAGAGTGAAGAAGGCTTCACTCTTACCTCTATATATACTCTTAAATAAGAGCTATGTAGTAATGTCCTATACGATCTCCAAAACATGTTGACTTTGCAAGACATGTATCTTAACTTGTAAAATAAGTTTTTTATATGTGCGCCACATAGTTAGCTTATTCCACAAGGTACCAATTTGTGGTTAACTTGTTGACCAAGTTTCTAACCTACCAATCAACTATGAGCACATGTAAAGTCAAAGCAATGTCTATGAAGCTTCTAGGAGGCTTTTCTAGAAGGTATTATGAAATTAACTTATTTTTATCTATTTTTACTTACTTATACCTAATCATATAGATATTTATTAGAATACATATGTATATTTATAACAGCATATGAACTGCATATTCCTACTGTTGGTGTGTTGTTTAAAGATAAAAGACGTAGTCATTCAAATATATATTAAGAAAAAATAAAACAAATAAAAGATTTATTAAGGTTTAAGATTTGCTATTATAGGACTGCTCAAGTTGGAGGAAGTAATTTTTAATAAAATTAATTGAATGAAAAATAATTAAAAGAATAGAATAATTTTTTTTATTTGGTGGAATGTTCTAACTTAAATTGTATATAATATTATAATTGAAAAGCGTCAAGAAGTGGTATTGAATGTATTTTAAGTATGTTTTAATTGCCTGACCACAAGCATACATTTTAATGTAATGTTGTGTAGTAATTAATTATAATATTAAGCATAAAATAAATTTTTAATTAAATAAATATTTATAAGAAGGTAACACTAAATATTATAAGATATTAATAAAAAAAAAATCAAATATCTAAAATTATTTAATCTTTGTAGTAATACAATAATTAAGAAATTTAGTGAGTAAAGCTCATTTGTTAAAAGATTTTTTTGGTTGTGTATTATAGCTTTTAGGATAGGATTTCTAAATATTAATTATTTATGGCTTAAGATTATAATTTTGGCTATAATATAAATTTAAATTGGAATTGAATTTTAGAGTTATTAAATATGATATTATTTTTATAAATTAGAATTAGATCATTAGAATATTTGTAGGAATTAAGTATTATTTTTAATATTATTTGATGTTTAACATATAGGATTTTTATTATATTTTTAGTACATAGAAAATAAGATTATATATTTAGTATAATAAAGTTTAAAACAATTAGTTTAGAATAAAATAAAAATCTAATATTTAATTATAAATATTTGGTGATAGGATGAAATTGAAATATTTGTAAGTAATTTATCATATTATATCTTTTGGACTTAATCAAGAATAGTTTGTGAATGGCATAGATGTCTTTATTTAATTTTTAAAACATGATATGAATAATGAAAATTAGTTGAGATATTTGGAGAAAAAGTCAAATCTTTGTTGTAGCATTGAAGATTTTATTAAAGAAAGAAGACATATTAAATAGAAACCGATGTATAAATCTATACAAGAAAGTTAAACATATTACTAAGGTATTTGATTACCTAATAATATGCAGTAGTAATAAATTACAACATAAGCCATTAATAAGAGAGTTATTTTTTGTATTGGAAAAATTATATTTACTAATGAAGGATTGTAGAGAAAAAAATTGATATAAATCAATTATTTATTAATTAAAAATTAAAATTAAAATTAAAAAAATATTTTGGAATTTAATTTATTGTTGTAATGTAATAAATAATATACTTATAAAGTACTATTCTAAAATATTTGAAGATAATACAATTACTACTTTTAACATGTTAACTTATGATGAAGTAGAAGATGATGGAAAATGTCTACAAGAAAGATTGATCTTAGCAAATTAAGAGTATTTTCAAAATTATGGATTAACAAAGGATCTATTACAAAGTTTTGAAGACTTTTGTCACATTAAAGGTGGCAAAGTGGATTATCTAAGATTATTATTAGATACAAAAGCACTTGAAATTATTAAATCCATATGCAAAGAATTTTGTAAAAAGGCTTTATAAATCAAGATGGTTGAGTCTTAAGTGTGCAATTTAAAAGATGGATGCTGAATTAAATTAGGTATATATTAAAGATGTGAGTATTTTAGTAAGTCTAAGCTATTCCAATTTGATAGTAAATTATTTTTCAATAAAAAATAATACAAAGAAAAGTATCAGATCTTCTACATTTAAAAAAATAAAATAAAATAAAATAAAATAATTTTTAATGATGGAGTAAATACAAACAAGTTTATGCAAGATACTTAAAAAAGAACATAAATGTGAGATTTTTGTCATTGATATTATGTCTCTAAATTTCTAAAGGAATGTATTACTTGAATGATAGGTATGTTTCACATTGTGATTTATAACTTGATAATATTTTGATTAATACTATTAGAATAAAAATTAGAAATAAGATTGTTTGACATGTCTCTATGAAAGTAATTGATTTTGAAATATCTAAGATTGAAGTTGAAAACAATCCAAAAGTTATAAAAAATAATTATGTTCATGGTACCACAAATTATATGGCTCCAAAGGAATTGAAGAGTACATTTCAAACAATAAACATTTCTCTTTTTGAAGTGGAAAAGTATTTATTTACAATGGTATGTTCTAAGATTATTGTTCAAAAATATCTATTTCATGATGTTTATGAGATAAAACAGATAATAAACAAAATGAAAAAGGTGAATAAAAAAAAAATCATCTAATTTTATATATATTTTTGAAATTTTATTAATTTTAAAAAATAAAATATTGATGTAATTAATTCAAATTATTACAAATCAAAGTTATTTTTAAAATTTAAGAATAAAACATAGCTTGGTATTGCAAGTTTCTTTGAAGTTTTTTTTTTCTTTTTAAATTCAATTTTGGGCTAAAAGAATTAATTAAAAAAGTGTGTATATATATATATATATATATATATATATATATTAAATAAAAATTTATACCTAAAATTATTTTGGTTGTATTTGTTAATAATATCTAATTATTTGTATTACATTAAAAAAAATCATGATTTTTTAGATAAGAGTTATAGATGTTTTGTGTTTATGTAATATTATCATTCATGTCATCTACTTTTCAGCACTGAAATTTTTATTTATTCATTAAAAAATTTAACTTTTAACTTTTCAGAAATATAAGATAATTCTGGCCTTGCAAAAGGAAAACTGAAAAATATATTTGGAATGTTGAAGTCATAACCTTTTGCTTAAAAATGGATGACAATGATATAGGGATTTTAAAAAAATTCATTGAAATATTACTACTTATTAAAATATCCATAAAATCAATTAAATTCTATTTTAAACAAGAGAAACAACAGCAGAATACTTTTGAATGAGATTATTATTTCTAAAGAAACATCATACACATGCATATAAAATACCTGCATTCCTTACATTTTTGTTTAATTTAAAAGTACATTATTTGAGTTTTCCTTTTTCTAAAAATATACTAAGAATATTGAATAGTATATTTATTTACAAGCCGAATGGAAACACAGTCAACTAGTTAAGCCAAGCTAAGGTAATCCCTGAGTGGTCAATTGCACCAGTTATTAATAAAGTTGACAAAAAGAGCTTTAAATGTCATCAATTGACCCAATCTCCAACAACATTGACGCACAAATTTGTTGGATTACCAACTCCAGTACAACTTTTTACAACCTTGTCTTCATCTTCACTTGCCAAAATGTGTTTAACCTTCACTTGAAGCCTTCTTTTCACATGGTTCACAAAACCCTCTTGCATCTAAAAAGAATAATTAAAATTAAGAAAATGAGATTTGGTGCTTGTTAAATTAAATAAAGATATTGAAATTAAAATTTTGAAAAAATTTCATTTTAATTTTTTAAAAAATTGCCATTGTGTGCAATTAAATTAATCATGTTTCTACATGTTTTTAAAGTTTTTAAGACAAAGAATTTACAACTATTCCAATTGGTGAATTTAAATGCTTTGATTTTATTGTAAAAGAAACCTGAAATGTTGCAAACTTGCAGTCAGCAGCAAAAATATTTGAAGTGAGATAATCATCTTCATTGCCATCTAGGAATACTTTAGAGGCTTCGCTGGGAGCCATGCGACGGGCATTATGTAACTTCACATAAACCTCTTTTGTTTCCTGGTATGTTTGTCCTGCAAATTTATTTTATTTATTTTTTATAATACAATACAAGCATGTTGTTTGAATTAGAAATGATCAAAAGTGCCGGGTGTTGTTTCAAAAAACTCACATCAGTTTAAAACAACTGGAACAAAAGAGCACTTTTGTGATAATTTCTAATTGATAGGTTGTCATATTTTTCAATAAAAAATATACTTAAATATTTCTAGAAGAATACAGATAAAATATTTTAAATGAACGAATATGTACCCAAAATGCCGTGCACTATTGGAGAAACTCTCACTTCATTCAATTGAAAATTGATCTATACATTATAAAAAAAAAAAAGAAAACATTTTTGTTGGAAAACATAAATTAATATTAGTTTTGGAAGTTTTAGCATACAAAAAACATAGTTAGAGCTTTCAAAATATCACAAAAAAATCAAAAGTACAAGATTAAGTTCATTTTAAAAAACACTGCGATACAATTATACTTATGACTCACATAATTTGCTCCAGATCCATGAATACCAAATGTGGGCTTCATTTTTGTTACATTGAAGTCCACTACATCGGGAATACGAACATGAACATATGTTGGGTAATAGCTAATAGTCATGCGATTGCTTTTGCTAATGAACTCATGGCCCATAGCAACATCCATCTACAATGTCATTGTTTTTGTTATTTTGAAGCAATTATGTTTATTATATAAATACGAAATTTAAAAACCATAATCAAATGTTTGCATTGTTAAACTCTATTATCACATACCTCATACAAGAAAAATTTATGTTACCACACCATTATTCATTCAATGAAAACATCTTATAATAACTTACATCATTTATTTGAACCACCATTTGTTTGCCAGTTGCTTGGGTTTTATTCACAAGAGGATGTATGTTGATGAGAATGTTGGAATCTTGATGTACAACACCGATCATTGATATGAACTACAAATATTAAAGTTAGTATTAGTTATTAACACCTCATATACTCCACATAAAAAAATAAAAAAGTAAAAAAACTAAATGATTTTATGCTCAATTCACCATATATACGTACATGTATATATACACATATACGAAAAGAAAAGGAAGAAGAAAGAGAACTGGTGGACGCGATGACCGCTAGACGAACGAAAGGATAGACGGATGAACGAACAGACAAACGAAAAGATGGAGGGGCGAACGAGGGACGAACGAAGGGTAGACAGAAGGGGGGGAGGAAGCCGCTCACAGAACTGCCGCGATGGATTCCTGGGAAGACATGCATGTTGATTTGCAGGCCTGGATCGCTGAGGACGCAGTAATTCCGGTTGTCTTTGCCGTGGAAATCGAAGCGCTCTCCATGTTTGCCGAAGAAGTGCGGATCTCCCTCAACGTAACCCGGGGGATGGTGCGATGGCGGTGGCGGTAGTGGACAACTACAGTCGCAAGCTGGAGGGGGTGGTGGTGCTTTTGGAGCACTGTTGGAGATGAAATCCGGAGGAGGGGGTCTGAAAATCTTCACAGGCCTAGGAGCGGGTGGTGGCGGTGATGGAGATGGCGGAGGTGGTGGAGATGGTGGAGGTGGGGATGGAGGCGGAGGTGGTGGTGATGGAGGTGGGGGTGGGGGTGAAGGGGGAGGCGGTGATGGAGGCGGAGGTGGTGAAGGCGGTGGGGGAGAAGGTGGAGGAGGCGGAAGCGTGCATTCCGGAGGCACCCAGTCGCACAGCGGGGGTGGCGGTGCCGAACAATTAACACCTGAAATCAAAATGGAGAAACCAGGAATGTCATCGCTGTGCATGAATGCCTTCACATTTTTGTTACTGTTCATGTTGCAATGCACAATAGTTCGTTCCAAACTGTTGCACGTTCAGTATCTGATGGAGTATATAATTCGAAATCATTGGCCTCAGACTAAGAGTTTACCGGGGCCTATAGGTGTGTCAAGAAAGACGTCATTAGAGGGCGCCATCTGCAAACCATGTGTGCTGGTGATTAAATGCATTTTCCATTTTTACCGTAAAAAACCACAACCAGTATTGGGAAGTGATCCAGATGAGGTTATGTATGAGAATCAAAGGTCATCGCTGATACCGAGTAGAGATCTTGCTCGCTGGGACAGAAGTCGCACGTCCCTCCTCCACAGTCAATGGCGTTATCATTCTACACACAATGCCCAGAAACCTATTTCATTACAACCACAAATGATGAGCGACTCTACAATCACCCTGATTGCAACCGTAGCTGCTATCAGATCTCTACCAGGACCTTGAGAAGGTATTGATTCAGGGAGTTACCGTTGTTTGACATCGCACGAAGTTGGCGGTTGCGAAGCTCTTCACTGCAACAGCGTGAACTCCCTGCAATATACCCTGCAAAAAACCTCCGGTAAGCCTCACATACAAAGCCCTTCTCATGAAACAATCTGAATAATACGGATAGAACTCATACTTGAGAGTTGGAAATCACTTGCATACCATTCCTTCTGTGCCAGAGAATACAGTCTTGTAAGCATCTAGCTCCACGCCGTGCGTATTATTTTGACCTGCTTGCAACTCTACATCACCTCCTGAATTCTACTTATCCAAAGCGCCGAAAATATCACTCAAATTAGTTCTCGCTTCATGCGAACGAATGGGCAAAGTTTTATATGTCGACAAAAGAAAAAAAGAAAAGGCCAGCATGAAGGTGTACATTGGCTTTATTGTTGATGAAGCTGGTCATCTTAAGGTGACCAACTGCTCCACTCGAGAGAAACGCCAGCAAAATGGCGCCTCCGTCCTCCCAGGCGGTATTATTAACAAAGCTGCAAGTTGAGCACTCGAATTTAGCTCCACCATCGCCAGGGCATCGACTGGGAGCGTCATCGACATAAACAGCCCCTCCCCAGCTCGCTTTGTTGTGCCAGAACGCAGTGTTCACAACCGTGACACACGTTTTCAAGCCACACTCCTCGGTCTCCTCCCTTGCTCCCACATAGAGAGCCGCTCCTTTGGAAGCCTACACAGACAAAGGAAACACGAACGGTCACCGAAATTTCAATCGTTAATCTGACAAGCCGGAAGGTGGCGAGGGATTCTTTCAGGGTGAAATGAAACTACACTTGCCTCGTTTCCTTCGAAGACGCAGCTGCGGATGTTGGCCAAGGCGCCAGCCTTCACCGTCACTGCTCCTCCTGTGCCTGAGACTGTGTTGTTACGAAAGACACTGTTGAGGGCTAATAAACGGCCTCCTCCGCCATGGATGCCACCCATGACTAGCACCGCCGCTCCTTCGCCACAACTTCCGCCTGTGATTTCCAAATCCTTCAGTGTGAGAGTGCCACCTACACCAACCACAAATATCTGGCCATTGCCACAGCCATCGATCCGGCAAGGGCCGTCGGTGCATAATCCCACTATGGTTATCTTCGATATGATTTCCGGAAGTGGTAACGACTCTGAAACGTCAAGATCAGCGTTGATAACGATCTGTGGCTCCTTAGCGAGGATGGCTTGCACCAGGCAGAGCGCATTGGAGCACTCGGGTAGACTTGATGTAATTCCAATAGTCATCGGGGCATCACCTGCAAAAACCCCAACGCACCAACAAACGTGAACATATATCAGCAACCCTCGTGAGAGATTCTGATAGAAATGCATGCAGATGATGAGCAGATTGTGTCATTTAATAATCTCTCGCAGGAGGTATTCTACTTATGAACGGGTCGCTATCTCTTTGCTAATCGCTTCAGATTCTTTTTCTTTTTTCTTACTGGAGCTTGTTCTGCCATCTTGAGAATAAGACCAAGTAATGTGGGATATATGAATACATTAAATGAGCTGCCTGAAGGCGAACAGTGTTGGGGACCTGTGTAAACAAATCACAATTGGTTTTTTTTTACCTTTAAATAGTTATTTTTGAGTGGCCCTCGTCTACAGAAACAGCGGATTGTTGCAACGCTGTGAACGGATTACCTGATAAATCTTCAGGCTGCTCCATAGTATCCCCTTGAGGGTGCAGATGAACACGGCAACCAGCAGAGTTACTTAGCATTGGATAAAAAGAATTTCGGTGACGCTTGGATCTGGGCCTTGGCACAAATGTGGATAGCTGCAACAATTTATTTTCCAGTGTAACATATACGTTACAACCAGTGACTGAAGGTCCTCATGAAAGTCACATGCCATGATTTCAGTACTAATGTTCATGAGAAATGGAGTGAATCTCTAGCTTTGGAGCTTACTTCACGGGAAATATGGGAGCTCTTGGTGGCTTGCTGCACCCAGCTGCGGGTACCGCGTGTAGCATCTTTCTTCATCTCGGGCCAACATGACGCTTTCGAGATAACTGTAGATAATGCACATGTGAATCTGAAAGTTAGCGAAGACGCGAAGGATTTCTGTGGTCATTGTTGTTTAGAACGTCTGGATATAGAAGTTCGGATACAAGGAATTTAATTGAACCGATGATGCACCTTGATTGAGCAACAGGGTGACCACGATCCATAGAGCTGAAGTTTTGCTACTCGCCCCAGCTCGCAGCAGCCCCATCTTAGCAGATAGACTTTACTCAAATCCCACCGTTATCTCTCATTACTCTCATATTTTCTTGCCTCCAGATATAAATGCCAATGGAATTAAATTCTAATTATTCCTTCGACTTGCGTAATCGAATTGACAATGTTGATTCATGTAATGAATAAATTCTTCTCACTAATGAACTAAGCATAAGCTTGTCAGCTTGTTCGTGCTCAGACTTTCGCGCACTCAGGAACATTTGACGATCAAGACAGTGTCAAAGATTTCGATTGAACGAATTCGTTTAACTGATAATCCTCATGACCTCCCTCACTTTCAAGGTGAGTGGTGAGACTTTGGCGAGCCTTCACCTGCTCTCCGGCTGTGAGCTTGCTTCGAGGCTATCAGGTTCAAATGGTTGAACCTTACAAAATCCCACCACTGCCTGAGGGAGGGACAGGGGCGCACACACACACACAAACATAGGGAGAGAGAGAGAGAGAGAGAGAGCAAGGCGAGTAGGACTCTTCCACAGAACTGAAGTGTAGATTGGGAGCCTGAGGTTTCTATGAGGTGAGGGTAAACTTTAACCAACGAAGGGGAAGGGTAGCAGTTACTCGTAACTGTCCGTTTCGACAGTTAGCCTTCCCTACTACCTGAACTCTTCTCCCTTGACTTCTTATCCACCTCGCTTCTCAAGCAGGGCCAATGCGAAACACTCCTAACCTCAGTTAGGATTGGCCCTCCGTTGTGTTCAGATGCCTCACAACCCCGCATTAGCTCGTGGGTGGCTCCATTCGAACCCACGTGCGCAAAAGCAAGAGGCAGTTTCCTTTCTCATCCACCTTCATTCGGCGGGGAAGGAATCCTGCCTACCCTCTCGAGACCAAGCACCGACTCGTTAGTTTCCCTCACATCGTAACAGACACACGACTTCCTAACCCACACGCGTGTTTACAGTTACGAGGCTGTTGAGTGACTCCAGATGGATATTTTGTTTTTTTCCCCCAACTCTCTGAACGCACAACAGCTTCTTCTGCGCTGTTGCACTCGCCGTGGGAGATCGCAAGCTATACACACACCCGAAATTCATGGGCAGGTGCCTGGTTCTACGCGATCAGCTTCAGTCTTCGCATCTTGCCAAGCTTTTTTGCTCGCGGTGTCGCGCTCTCTAACTGTGAGACGAATTTCGGGTTCAGGAGGGCCCACGAACACGAAACTCCCGGACCGCGGCTAGTTGGGTACCAGTTATAACCAAATTGTGAGAGGAAGGCGGTTGGTTGTGCAATTGGGTGTGGTAACCGACGCCCTTGAGTCGAGTGGCGTCGAGTCCCAAGTGGCTCCCATGCACCTCCACATCTGTCGTCCTGAGGCTTCCTCCCCCCCCCCCCCCCCCTCCATCTCCGTCATAGCCGAAGATAGCTGGCTCCTCGCCTCATCGCGGGGGTGCACCGAAACCTCTTTCACACGGGCCCAAGTGGTTTCCTACGTGGCGTGTATCTAACCAGAGGCATCATTTATTCCTTCGTTTGTTCATGAGTCTATTTTATTTTTCTAACTTGAAGGAACAAAACCAAAAAAGTAAGATTGATTTGCTTTTGAAATTGGAAGTAGAAAATATCTGAAAAGGGCGAATATCCGCTACGAACTGCTCGTGTGAAATTATCGGTGAACTGGAATACGATATTTAATCTACAGATCCTACGCTAGACTCATTTGAAGCTCATTCACTGCTTTTTCGTTTGGCTGCACAACTGGGGAGTGTTGTTTTCCAGGTCAACTGTTGTTTTATTTTACTCAAATTGTAATGCCTTTAGTGTTATAGAAAATTTGATAGTTACTTGTGCTTGGTAGATTTATTGCTCTCCTTCATAGATGCTTCTATATTTTAAGCAGAAAACTTTCATTCAGTTGTGACAAAACTGCATAAAAAACTCATAGTTTAATAATTACATTTATAACAACAAAAATAAAATTGGTAAAATACAAAATCACAACATTACTGCAATCAGTTCTTGAAGCCATTTAAGTGAGCACTTTTTTTGCAAAAAAGAACACACAATATTTGAGCCCTATCAACATTACAATATTCTTGAGCCCTATCAACATTACAACATTACAATATTCTTGATACTTAATCACAACATTACAATATTCTTGATTGGTTTACTAAAAAGGCGGGTCAATTTAATATTTTCCTTAAAAAATTATTTCTATTTTATTTAAGTTTATTCTAAATCTTTTTCTTTTGTATTACTCTTATTTTTAGTCAAAATGTTTGCTTGTGCACTACACTATCTAATAATTTTCTTTAAGAAACATATAGATATATATATATATATATATATATATATATGTTTACATATTTAATCTATTTTTATATGTATATATATACATATATACAAAGAGAGAGAGAAAAAATTGTTACTGCTACATCCCCAATTGATATTGCTATATTCCCAATTGATGTTGCTATAGCTCACATGACCTCCACACAACTTAAATTGACTTAAAAGCAAGCTTCTACACTTAGGGTACGTTTGACAGCCCAATATTTAATCCTAAATGGATCCAAAAATAGAATAAATTAATAAAGAAGTATTAATGGCAATCAAATAAAAAAAAAATTAAGATAAGTATTTGGTTTAAAAAAAAAACAACTTGAAATATGTATTTTCATAAAGTATTCATTATCTCCCTTTCTACCACCACCATTTCTTAGGACAAAGAAAGAAAAAAATGCACAAAAAAAAGAGGCACATTATTAGCTAGTTGTCTATAAGAAGGACATGTAGGATACTTGATTATACTCTGCAGTCTTTTCTAAAACAAAAAATTGGAAACTTGAATAAAAACAACTTGAACCATACATCCTATAATATTGACTTAATGAGTAGGTTTTGTCTACCTTGGTAACATAAATTTTATAATTTCATTGTATGTTCATTACCACAATTTATTTATAGCATGTTATGCTTAGTGTTGTGATTAAGTTAAATGATATAAGATCTTACAAGTTAAAGATCCTACACAAAAATTCAAAATAATAGATTGAACTTCCAAAAGTTGGCATATTTATCATCAAATAATACCACAAGTAATATTATAAATAAAATAGTAAAGACAAAAAATTACAATACAATATAAATTGAAAAAACTGATTTGACACTATATTTTTGAAATATTAAAATTAATATATTAGAAATTTCTGTAATCAATAAAAGAAAATTTAGTAAAATTTATATATAATTTTAATGATTTTAAAACCTATACAAATGATTGTATAATTAAATGTAAAAAATTCTAATATTAACTAAAATACTATATTACATTTGTTTACACAAGAGTTGTATTTTTTTAAAAATATATATATATATATATATATACATCATCCTAAAGAATTAAATCATGCTACTCTAAAAATAACACAAAACTAAATAATACACATCTTTTACATGATTGATCTTAAAAAACAAAGAATTAATAATTATTTTTAATCTTTTTTGAATTTTTTACTTTCCATGTACAAAATTTTATTAACATTGTAATAGAATTCAACAATAATATAGGAAGTGTATGAGCTCAAATCATGCTTTAATATTCACGTTCATTCTCACAAGCCTGTTCATTCCACTAAATAACCTATTATTGATTTAAAAAATAATTAATAAATAAAATAAAACCATATTTAGTACTATCCCAATTCCACCTACTCATACCAATCAATATATTTGTTTATTTTTTTACAACACCATTTCCAATGAATTGTTTATTATCATTAACAATATCCCAAATACAATGCAATCTCACTTTTGTTCATTTATTTTTCCATTAGCGTCCATTCGTATTCTAATTTTACAAAAAATAAATAAATTCTCGTTGAGTAAATTTCAACTCAATAAGAATACCTCCCTTCCCTTCACTGACGCTCGTAAGCAGCGACCTACTACTGAGCGGGCCGACACGTGTCGTAAAATAGCAGTTGCCATCTGGACCGCCAGGTGGACTCCAAAAAAGGGGTCGAGAGTCTGAGCGGCGGTGACTCATGACTTGCGAAGTCTATCTCCCTATCACGCTCGGTGCTAAAAACGCCGACCCTTCGCCTTCAAATTCCTTACCAAAGCTCACTCATTCACTTACTATTTCACTGCAACGAGATCGAATCGGCGTCGTTACTGCCCGCTAATCCATTGCGCGTCGCGACCGCTTTGTGGGTATCTTGCAAACTCAGGACCTTAGACCTCTCTCTTATGTCAGTGCTCGACGTGATCTAAGGACTCCCGCACCATTGCTTTGTCCCGCGATGCATCGCAATCTGCGCACAAGAACGTAGAATTTTCGTTAGAATCTTGGGTTGATAGTTTGCTCGTCGATGTAGGGCGAACCGGAAGGGTGGTTAACGACCTGACCCACCGCCGCTGAAGCAGTTCGTCGCGTTCGAGATTGGGTTGACAGTTCATGTTCGTGATTTTGCGAGGAAGTGCTTGAGGTCTTTGAACCAAGTGGTCTGTCTGTTTTTTGTAGTTCGAGTGAGTATTTTTTTTGTGTGTGTTGACTGGGGGCCGGTCCACCCCGCCAGCTCCACTGTGCGAGTAGAGAGCCGATTCCTTGCATGCCGAAGCGTTCTTTGTGAGTTGACTTCCGTAATTTGGAATGTCATCTGTGTGTCGAGATGAATTGAAACGTGTGGACGGTGCGTCCCTTGCAAGGTCGCTGAGTGACGATGCTCTGTCCTTGTAGCTTGAATCGGTAATATGATACTCGACTGGTCTGGATCATACTAATCCAGGGTCTGCATGTTTGGGTGATGCAGGGCAGATACTTGGAAAATGAGAGGGGGGACATTGAAGATCGTGGCCCTTGTGGCTGTGCTGGCTTTTTTTGTGTTCTTGGAGTTCCAAACCGCAGAGGCACAACGTAAATTACTGCTCTCATAAATTCTTTAATTTTTTAATTATTATTATTATTATTATTATTACTATTTTCTGGCGCAGGCGTTGTGGGCTGTACTATATTATATATAAGTATTTTACTGTAAAAGAAAACCATCTGAAGTTTCAGGCTAATTTAGGGTGTCTGAACTGGTATGCAAGTGACGACATTCCATTCATTTTCAGAATACCAATTTATACTAAGAGGAGAATGTGTGCAGTTGATTTCCTCATGGACGATGTGACTTAATATGTCGTCTTCTGCAGTTGTTAATGAGTGCAGGTCACAGACACTCAATAATTGTGATGTAAATGCGTATTGTTATGACACTCCCAACTCATACTTCTGTCAATGCCGCCGCGGATGGTATGGGGATGGTCTCGTTGGACCGGGTTACAACGGATGTGAGTGCTTCATAATCAATATATTCTTAAGCTTTTCTCGTATACTGTTATTCAAGTGAAAATTCTCAGAGGATACTCGTTGAATTTCGTAGGCAAATTCTAAGCATTATCTCTAATTTCTTTTTTGCTACCGTGTGCAGGCACGCGACGTCGAATATCAACATGGCGAATTATAGTTTCTATCATTGGGTCGATTCTCGGTGCGCTTCTACTCGCGTGCTGCTTGGCGGGCTGTATCAGGAATTGTGTGAGGGCAAGATCACGCAGAGCCATGGAACCACAGGGTGATCCTGCATATGGATATCCTGCTCAGCAACCATATCCCCCGCAGCAGGGCGTTCCGATGCACGCAACTCAGACCAACAAAGTCCCTCCTCCAGCAGGAGTTGTTTAGATGGCTGGGAATTCCAATCAGTGACAGGAGCTGGGAGAAGTAGAATACTATTTATTTTTTATATCGATTACTTATAAGCTCTCGAGTTGTACATTACACGGAAACGGCTAGTCGCATGTTCTTTTAGATCACCTATGCATAAATAAGCTTGATAGTAATAGCTTGGTTAGTGCAAATTTCCATTCTTAGAGTACAGCAGGAAACAAGTGGCTTCTGTGATATGATCTCTTTTGAATTGTTGAAAACTCTTTCATAAATGATTTCTGTTATTTTCTTGTTCCAAGATTCAGTAACAATCACTACTTCCCAATGTTTCACCATGTAATGAAACAGACTTGCGTTTCCACATATACTCGATCAATTTTAGCCACATTCATAACGCATGTTGTTGTATTCTAATTTGACGGAATGTTTTGCATTAGTGGTCAAACCTGTGCTTGTGATAATGCAAAATGCTCCTCTGAATGCACTACATTATTTGAAAGCTCTAGATGAGGTAAATAAAAACAGCCAACCAATGACTCTTTGCTTTTGTACCACAATTTTGTGCATTATTCCAATGGAAATGACGGAGACGAGTAGCTTACGTGCACATGTATATATTACTTCGATTCTTGTGCACAGATGGCAGCTCACAATCACAGAAGAAAGTGTTCTCTCACTCGTACACAGCGAGGACAAAATATCCTTGTGGATTTGTGGATGCTCATCTAAATCAAGCATCTGGGTAGGTCCAAACTACTTTACAGTAATTGCTCACATTGGAAGCCTAAAAGTGATATAAAAAAATGATGAGAATATACTATCTTAAAATGGTGTTGCAATTGTGGTAAACATCGATAAAGGAAGTGATGGTCATCCAGACACTTAGATTCAAGCTAGAATTTTGTTTGAGACAAAGTTTGTACTACCCCACACGCAGATTTTGTCCTTGAGATTGGGTAGTTGCAATTTTTTTACCAAGTATAAAATGCAAATATTCTAAGTAACAATTTGATAAATGATTCCAATTTAATTTAATTTATTTTATTTTATTTTATTATTGATGAGTGAAAACTTGAATTGTGTTCCTTTCACTGTCATAAAGTGTTAGTTTGTTGATTGCAGATATCTTTAACCTTTTGCAACCCTATTTTGTATAATTAAATTATCCTTAGAGATTTAATGTGGTGGTTAATCAATACATATTCTATGCCTTATCATTGAAATCTATTTTATATGTAAAAAGGAGGAAACAGTGATTTGCTTTGTTAATAAAAGATCACCTTACATCAGGCACAGATAATTCAAAGGTACAATCTAGATTCTATTTTTTTTTTTTTTTTTTTTTTTTTTTTGTAATTAAATTTTAATTACTATATAAAAACTTGCCCCATCTTCTTAGAGTCTTAGGTGGAGTTTTCAAGAATCTATGTCAAAAAAAATTCTATATATTTTACTCTCATGGATGTGATATATGATTTATCCATTTGGATAGCATTGTTGTTAAAAAATTAAAAAATTAAAAATTAAAATTAAAAATTAACATGCCTACCATTTCTTTACATACTTTCTTGAAAAAATAATTTTAATTTAATTTTAATTTAATTAATTAATTTTTATTATCCTATAAAATATTATTAATCATACTTTTAATCTTATAAAAAACCTTTGTAAGTCTATCCATGTAGAAGTAAAAACATACCTTTAATAAATTAAGATGCTATTTACAATAATTTTTCTTTTTGCCACACTACTTATATAAAATACTAAAAGTCAATATTTGTTTTAGTCTTTTAATTAAAAACTAGTGTTTGGCTTGAAGGATAATATTTAAGGCAAAAGATTCTAACAAGTTTGGATACTTTATTGTTATTAGTCCAATATAATTTTTAAAGTATCTTGCCAAAGACTTGGACCAATTTCGTTTTAATCTACAAACAATACTAAATTTTTTAAGATATTAATTTCTTTAGACAATTAATTTTTCTCACATTTTATAATTAAAGCAATATTATCCAAATATTAAAGTAAGATTGTTTATTCTTTCTTTTTGTTAGGACATAATCTTTAGAACCTTCTAGAAGCTTCTTAGTTGGTAGAAGATGTCAGGGACATAGTCCTTAGAATCTTCTAGAGATAAGTTTCTAGAACCTTCTAGAAGTAAGTCTTTGGAACCTTCTAGAAGCTTCCTAGTTAGTAGAAGTTGCTTGAGAAGCTTCCTAAATAGGAGTATATATTGGAATCGAGGCTGAAGAGTTCTTCAGTCTCGACAACACATCTCTTGGAGCTCTAGCTTACCTCTCTGGTGTTGTTCTCATCTGATTAATCTAGTCCTTGTCAGTTCTTCTTGAACTTCTTGTTAGATCTCGAGTCTGTATTTCTGTGTCCGTGACAATTTGTCGAGACTTCACTCACCTCAGATATTAGAGCTAGTTTCTTCTTTGTTAGAGTGTGGATTACTCCTCTGCTTAGAAGTGTACTAGCATTTTAGAGGTTGCGGATTACCTTCCTCTAAACTGATACTTCTTTTGTTACAATATTGGAGTCTTATTCTTCTTGGAGAGAGTGGATTACCCCTTTTCTTGAAGCTCTTAAGGCATTTTAGAGGTTGCGAAGTACCCTCCTCTAAACCAATATTGTCTTCTTATAGAGTCATTTCTGTCCTTCTCTTAGAATGGCCGGGGGCCAAGACATTAGTATGACGGAAAGTTCGGAGTCCAAGTTGGATGCTATCATGAATGCCCTCGCTACGTTATCGCAAAGAACTGCAGAGATTGAAGGAGTCGTGGCAAGGCTTCATAATGATGGAGCATCTGGGATGGCACAATCTAGGTTGCACCAACTTCAAACTTCTACACTTGGAGAAGCAACTTTGCCTCAGGTTCGACAAGCACCGCTGATTCTACAACATAAGGAGCCCCGAGTTATCCTTTCGGACAAGTTCGATGGTACGTATTCCAAGTTTCGAGGATTCATCAACCAAATCAGGTTAATAACAAATTTACAGCTCAAACGCTATCCAATGGAGGAGTCATGTGTTGGGCTTGTTGGAACCTTACTTACAGGACAAGCTCTATCATGGTTTGCTCCTTTGTTTGAGAAACGATTGTCCATACTAAACAACTTTGAAACCTTTTTGGAAGCATTTGCAGAAGCATTTGGTGAACACGACAAGGTTCGATGGGCTACAACAAAGATCCGATCACTACAACAAGAGATGCGCTCTACATCAGTCTATGCATCGGACTTTAAGCAATTAACATGCGATATCAATTGGGACGAAGAAGCGTTGATGAGTCAATTCTATTGCGATTTAAGGGATGATGTGAAGGATTTGCTATTAACTCTTCCTGATCCGCAAACGCTCAATGAAGCTATTAGCGAAGCTATGAAGTGTGATAACCACCTATTCCAACGCCACCAAGACCAACGTTCAAGACAACATACTATTCGCCACGCCCCAACTATGTCAACAAGCAACGTGAATTCACATTCAGAGGTAGAAGACATGCAAATTGATGCGGTACGTGTCAAATCTCTTACTCTAGAAGAAAAAAAGCGACGTATGGAGGAAGGTCTACGCTTGTATTGCGGTGAAGAAGGCCACAAAGTTGGAAACTGTCCCAAGAAGCAAAATTGACGTATTCTCAAGACTAGGGGTGCGTTTATTCAAAAAAATGAGGATGCCCAGTCACAATAGGAATCGTGCAGCTGAACAGTGAAATATTGCAACAACAACAAGGTTCCTTTCTTTTCGCTCAACCTGCCCTTTGTTTTACCATCCCTTTGCTTATTGGCCCTCAAAAACTGAAAACCTTACCATTATTAGATTCAAGAGCATCTGTTTGTTTTTTAGATGAAGAATTTATAAAGCATCATAAGATTCTTTTAGTAAAAAAATCCAAATCTGTTCACGTTGAGGTCATAGATGGGCGACCTTTATTGTCTGGTAGTGTCACCCATGAATCAGAACCTATAGAAGTGACGTTTAAGGGCCATAGTAGTCATATTATTTTCAATATTATTAGAACTCCATCAAATCTTGTTATTCTTGGTCTTTCCTGATTGGAAAAGCATAACCCATCCATAGATTGGAAGTTGCGGAAGATGACCTTTTCCACAAAACCACCTAAGAGCAAGCCTAGTAAAAAATTCCGAATAGAAAAATCCTTATTTATTAGAGCAAGTGCATTTATAAGATCGTCCAAGAAAAACCACACTGTTTGTCATTTATGCAGCTCCAACTACCACAGAGAAGATCTTGACAGCAAGTAAGGATTTTAAAGACATGTTTCAAAAGAAAAATGCTGACATGCTACCGGAACTCAGACCATATGATTGCACCATAGACTTACAAGAATGAGTACAACCGCCTTTTGGCCCAATCTACAATCTATCGCAGACGGAGTTGGCGGAGTTGCGAAAGTACATCGACAAGAATCTAGCCAAGAACTTCATCCGTCATTCAAAATCGTCAGCTGGAGCACCCATCTTATTTGTGAAGAAGAAAGATGGCTCATTGCGGATGTGCGTGGACTATCGAGGCTTCAATAAGGTAACAAAGAAGAATCGTTACCCGTTACCCTTGATTTCTGGTCTCTTAGAACAACTTGGACGTGCAAGGATCTTTACAAAAATTGATCTAAGGGGAGCTTACAACCTCGTACGAATCAAGGAAGGAGATGAGTGGAAGACAGCGTTCCGTACAAGGTATGGCCATTTTGAGTATAATGTCATGCCTTTTGGTCTTACCAATGCTCCAGCGGTCTTTCAACATATGATAAATGACATTTTCCGAGAGTACCTTGATGATTTTGTTATCATCTATTTAGATGATATTTTGATATTCTCCAAAAATGAAAAAGAGCATGAAACGTACGTTCGTTTGGTCTTCAAGAAACTACGCGAGCGAGGACTATATGCCAAGTTGGAGAAGTGTTTATTTCACCAAATAGAGATGGAGTTTTTGGGGTTCGTTGCGACTACGGAAGGCTTGAAGATGGATCCTAAGAAGGTGGAAGCAATCGTGTCTTGGGAGGTTTTGAAGACAGTGAGAGATTGTCATGGACACAAAATAGAGCCTTGAAATCTAACAAGAAGTTCAAAAAGAAGTGGCAGAACTAGATTAAACAGATGAGTACAAGAACAACACCAAAAAGGTGAGCTAGAACTCCAAGAGATGTGTTGTCGAGACTGAAGAACTCTTCAGCCTCGATCCCTATATATACTCCTATTTAGGAAGCTTCTCAAACTACTTCTATTAAATAGGAAGCTTCTAGAAGGTTCCAAAGGCTTCCTTTCTAGAAGGTTCTAG